GCCGTTGTGTTTCATTCTGGTTTTCCTTGATTCTCTTAGTGGTCGTGACCTGTAAACAGTTTCAAGTATCTCGTTACCACACGCTTAAAGGCAACCCCTTGATTTGATTTATTTTATTCAGTTGCCGGTGTTACAGACAAATTATCTTTACATCATAAACATGTAACTGAAATGTTTTTAAGTAACTGAAATGTGATTTCAAAGTGTGGCTACTTTTGTAATCGGAAAAGGTCAGAATAATTGTACAAATCACGTTTGGTCGACTATGGTCATTAAGTGTTGGGAGAGTAAGCTTTTTCATAAAAGATTTAAACTTGTATGGCTTAACTTAAACGCAACGTTTTTGTCTTGTAATCTATCTGCAGATACGACAGTCCTAACAATTCAAGCAGTTTCTAAAAACAACCAACCGTTAACATACACTCCCTTATTCACCTGGCAATTTGCCTCAGAGTTCTTTCACATCAATCCTCAGACTGGAGAGATCAAGGCAGGTGGTAAGGCACTTGATTATGAGGAGCTTAAGATATTTCGTATGCAGTTCAAAGCATCCGAGAGCAAGACACTCTTTTCCACTTGCCTCGTGGAGATTCGGATCACTGATGTCAACGACAACACCCCAATATTTGGAACGGAGTTTTACGAGGGTAGGGTTCTCGAGAATTCTCCGCCGAATTCGGACGTCCTTCAAGTGCATGCGTACGATCCGGACACTGGAGGTGGGGGACTTTTGACTTACTCCATCATTGAAAGCGACACTACCGATGGAAAGTATTTCAGTATTGACTCCAGCACTGGACTTATAAGAACGAAGGAAACATTTGACCGCGAGGTTGCTGATGAAAAGCACTTCACTGTCTTAGTCGAAGCTAGAGATAAAGGAGGCAAGTTTGGGAGGAGCTATGTTGATATCGAAGTCGTCGATGACAATGATGCGGGGCCAGTGTTTGCTACAACTCAGTATTCTCTGAGCGTAAGGGAAGATGCTGAGTTGGGTTGGATTTTGCACTCCTTTACCGTGCAAGATATTGATGTTGGTCTTAACTCTTTAGTAAGTTTTTACATCTCGTCTGGAGATGTAAGACATGCATTTCACCTGGAGACAGTGTACTATCCTCAAAATGTTGGGCAGCTCATTGTCGATGATAAGCTTGATTACGAAACTGATAAGGAGTACAATCTGAAGATCATCTCTACAGACGGAAGAACAACAAGTCAACCGCCAGCAAGGGTTAGAATCGAGGTATGAGCTTGACCTGTGTTTGACCTTGAAGCAGCTTTCAATTAAGTAGCGTTGAAAGCTGTCGTTGGCAAATAACAAAAAGTATATACAAAAAAAAAACCAACCAAAACCCATGGCCTCTAGAAATCGCTTCAGCCAATCGTTAGACGGTCTCGCCTTTGTTCACATGGAAATAAACAATGAACCACATTCCTGCCATCTAATATTCATTTTTAGTAAAGTAAATTAAGTCTATGAACCACATTCCTGCCTTCAAATGTTCATTTTCAGTAAAGTTAAGTAAGTCATTGTCAGTAAAGTAAGTCTTGTGTAGGTAGATAAAGGGAAGCTTTAGGTGCTACGACCTTTGTCTAAGTTAATTTCACTGAACTAATTTTTCACGTTACCACGTTCCCACCACTAACCTAGCTCCATTTTGCTGTATACAAACCACACAAAATATCCACACTGAAACGTCAGCTCTAGAAATTCTTTACGGTGGCCAATTTGAATTATCAACTCAGTTGATACAACCAAATAATCTTGTAATACCTACCACCGGCGCAGCACCACAGTTTCTTTTAATTTAATCCTTTTCATCAAGTTAAATTTGTTCCACGTAGGTACAATGCTGATTAGCTCCAACCTACCTAGACAGAAAATAACAACAATTGAACTTATTTCCAGGTTATAGACGTTAACGACAATGCCCCGGTGTTCAATCAACTTCGTTATGATGCAACTGTGGTGGAAGGCAGTCCAGGAAGCCTGCTTGTGGTGACAGTAAGTGCTACTGACATCGACACGACTGGCGAGACTATTTCTTACTTCTTAGACAAACAGGGCGAGATGTTCTTCACGATTGGTCCAGAGAATGGGGAGATACGTACTAGTGGGAGACCGCTGGACAGAGAGGAAACGCCTGTGTTGTATTTCAAGGTCCAGGCTACTGACGGAATTTTTGTTGGATCTGCAGGTGTAAAGGTGTGATGTAATTTAGTTTAATAGGAAAATAGAGATCTAAAACATTACAACAATGCTAAGGAAACAATGAATGACAACCGCCACGACTATCAATATTTCTATCCCACAATACAATACAAGTTTAATTTTGTCATACGCTCAACTATTCTGATGTGACATAACGTAATGAAATGACACACCAGCTAATTTACAGGTATACCATATGAATTGAAATTGAATTTGAAAGTACATACTTTAACATGGAACAGAATTTTAAATAGTTTGAGTCAGGATCCTAAAATACGATTTGGAACAATTCCACGTTATGCTAAGAAGTAAAAACGGTAGTCGTACATACAATAATATAAAAATAAGTAAAAAGTTAGGCACATACTGAAATGATGCGCATAAGAATGTTCTTGGCGAATGTAATTGTTTAAGTTAAGTGATAGTTGATAGAGGGCGTAATTCAGTAAATTATCGTGTTTTTGTAGTGTAGTGGAGCTGGTAAACAGGAATCCAGTTTTTTGAAAGCGTACGTTTATTCTTTTTTGTGTAATCCCTATCTTAATTCACACCTTTCATTTTCACCCTTTAAATTCGCTTGCAGATCGTTGTTCTCGATATCAATGACAAAGCACCCTACTTTCCAAGTCCTCCATATATTGGTACTATCGAGGAAAACAACCCTCCGGGCACAAGCGTGATTGTCGTACAAGCTATCGACGAAGATGACCCAAAAGAGAATGGGAACACCGACCTAACCTACTCTCTAGATGACGATAGTGACGGGCTCTTTGTGATTGACAGTACAACTGGGCTCATATCCAATACTATGACCTTTGATAAAGAAGGGGACCCGGACGAGTACAACGTCACCGTGAGGGCGACAGACAATGGGACTCCGCGACAGCTTAGCGGCACAACAGTGGTAACTATCAGAGTAGTAGACGCCAACGACCATAAACCGATATTTGAACCTCTGGAGTATAGAGCGTCTGTCCCGGAAAACGCATTTCCCGGATTCTTCGTGACACAAGTTAGCGCTACAGATATAGATTTGGGCTTCAACGGTAAATTTGAGTTTACCACGGTGTCTGGCAACGATCCCTATGCGTTCTACATCAACCCTGCTACTGGTGCGATATTGGTGTCGGGAGAGTTAGACTATGAAACACGACCAAGTTACACTCTGAAGATAAACGTATCCGACCTAGGTATCCCCCAACAGACTTCTTCAGAGCTTGCTTCCGTGTTCATCACCATCATAGACGTAAATGACCATCCTCCGATCTTTGTGCCAGATACGTACAGCATATCCATTAACGAAGACGAACTCGTTGGTTCTTCTTTACTAAGTTTGGTGACTAACGATCTTGACAAGGGCATTGAGACAAGGCTGTGGTTCACGGTCGAGTTTGGAGACTCAACTGACAGCTTTGACGTCAGACCTGATCCAAATAACCCTAGTATAGGTATTTTATACATAACTGCTCCCCTGGACCGAGAAACAGTCAGCAGTTACAAGCTAGAGATAAAAGCCGAAGATGCTGATGAACTCTTTGCCATTTGCTTCGTGACAGTAACAGTACTGGATATCAACGACAATGGGCCACACTTTATCCCTCCTATCTTCTTCGGCAGCATCGTCGAAAAGGTGTCTACAGCACAGTTTGTTGTGACGCTTAGTGCTTTTGACCCGGATGAACCGTTTAATGGACCACCGTTTGAATACAAGATACTCAATGGAACGGTAGAGGGGAATTTTTATATAGAGCCAAGTTCGAAGACCAGCACCACTGCCGATATCTACTCATCGGCTTCATACCAATTCAACTACGAAGAGAAACAAGAATGGAAACTGTGGGTACAAGTAACGGACAATGGCAATCCTGCCATGTCGAACATAACTGTAGTCTACATCGAGGTTAAAGATTCTGTCAATAACAACGCCCCTTTTAATGCCACAATGACGATCATTTTAAACTCGTATCAGGGACGCTTTGCGGGGGGAGCTATAGGAAAAGTTTACTACAGAGACAACGACTTTGAAGTGGATGAAAACGGCTACACAATTACGACGCAGAATCCAGGATCGTTTTTCACTTTGGATACAAACACGGGCCACCTCTCTGCGCCGGAAAATATTCCTGCGGGTAACTACGGACTTTTCGTACGTGTAACAGAAAAAAACAGAAATCAGGCATTACCACTCAAAGTTGTGTTCTCAGGCATAACTGTTATGGTTCGAAATATTTCACAAGCTGCCGTTCTAAAAAGCACCACAATACAGTTCGTGCAAATCCATAAAAAAGCTATTTTCGTTGGTGATTACTACTCGAAGCTTGTAGGGGTACTTCAAGAAATTTTTAGCAACAATGGTGGAGACTTCTTTGTACAATACTACGTTTATATCTTCAGTATACAAATTGATACAGACGACCCACAAGCTATAAATGTACAATTAGCGGTAAACACCCCTAAAAATGAGTATTGGAGTACAACTGATATACTGACGAAGCTGATAGAGAAGAGATCTTCACTTGAAAGTATCGGTAAGATTTAAGTTGAATTCCGTTTTGTTTTGAAATTTTAGCATTGATAAAAGCTATATTTTTGAACATATCTATTTGCTTCAAATGTTACATTCACATTTCGGTTATTTTCAGGGCTAACTGTAAGCACCTTCGGTATTGATACATGCGCAAAAGAATACAACAAAACTGGTATCTGCCGGAACGTGGTGAGCGCCTTCACTACGTTTACAGTGATCAGCGGCGACTATGGTCAATTACCTGCACCTGACACCTCTCTCACGTTTGTATCAATCGATGTGAAACTTGAAGCAAAATATTTTTTCTTCGAGATTAAACCTGTTCTAAGATGCTCAGATAAGCCTTGTTTGAATGGTGGCATATGTCATGACGTTCAACCAGAAGGTAAGTGATACAGTCACATTCATCAAAAATGATCATTGATGGAAGTTTATCCCTGTGCTATGATGTAAGTCCCATGCTTGATAGGGTCGAATAGACGTATTTCGGCCTAGGGAATATCTCCTATGTGAGGACGAAGCTACTCCTTATAATTTTTGGCTACATGAAATTATTGACTGACTGAAATGTTTGTAAAGAAATAATTGGCAACGAGAAAGCCATATCTCTTTCATTATTGACGATTTCAATGTTGGGGATGGCACCCTTGAGGTCCGACGGGCCCCAAGACACTAACGAAATTGCCAAAACTTCACATCATTTTCGGTTCTTTCCAAATCTGAAAAACATGAAGTTGATATGTTAGCCTATTTTAGAATAAAGCAGACAGCTACTACCCCTAAAGAACAATGATCGTAAGCCTTAGGACAATAAAAGTAACTGAAGCTTATCACATTTGCGGAAAATAAATTTAGATATCTGACACGTAAACTGCGTTTCCCTAGGGATTATTTGCCAATGCAAGCATAAGTTCGCCGGGCTAGTTACTGGGCCTCTTTGCCAAGAAACGACTCGCACGTTCGAGGGAGGCCTGGGAGAATCATACATCTGGCTTGAAAAGCTTGTGGCTTACGACAGGAATGTTGTACAGCTGGAATTCACCACAACAGTTGCAGATGGTCTAATTCTTTACCAAGGGCCATTATTGGAAGGTATGCGCTTTTTCCTTAGTTCTTTTGCAAAACCGGTGCAGAAAAAATCAAAACAACACGTTATAGGTACAAGTAATTCTTGTTCTTTGGCCATTTCAAGTTTATTGAAGCACAAATCATGCCTCAACAAGCATATCCAGCTGTCATTGTCAAGATGATAACAATTATCTTTAAAAGAGGACTATATTACCTGTAACTAAGCACTAATAGATGAACAAAACAAAATTTAAGAAAAACAAATTCATTGGAAAGCGAAAAAAAAAACGTTTGCCCTTTGTTTCCAATTTTAATCTGATCTCTTGTTAATTTCAGTTTCATTACGAGAAAAATTTTGCTAACTTTTTCATAGTGGGCGTCGGTCAGCCTCGTGATTTCCTGGCCATTGTTTTGTTTGGGGGCTTCATTCGTGTCGTCGTATCATTGGGATCACAGCCTTTAACTTTAACGATGTCGCGTGGTCCTCGACTGGATGATAGTCAATGGCATTCTATTGAAGTGCGTCAAGAGTTGAAGGTATAAGATTGCATTTACACTGACGTACAACACTTCATTACCAAGTTCACTTGGCAGCGAGAATTGCTCCCTGTTTTCTTCCAAGATGAAATAGTTTTTTGAATGATAGTTGTCATGGAATAACTGCAAGTAAAAAATTTTCTTTGATTTTTTTGTTGCCAAGTATTAAGTCCAATCATCTAAATAGGGAAACTTTTAGTTCAAGTAGTTTTCCTTGACAACTTTTTTCGCAGTTTAATTAGCAAGATATTACAATTTTTCCTTTTCAAGTCTCGTTGTCCATTATCTGAATCTGGCAGTATTTGAAAAATAATATTTTTCAAGGGCGTTAAGTTATTTCAACTCGATTTGCAATTTGGAATTTCGGAGGAAGGCGAACCCAGGGAAAAAAATCATTGAGGCACGAATCAAAATTAACAACAGTTTTAACCAACGAATGATACAAGGTCCGAAGAATCGGTCTCAGGTCGCCGCCACCAATGTCTGAAGCCAGGTTCGAGATTCGAAACAGGGCCACAGGCAAGGCTCTCGTAGCTGCACCATTGCTGTTCAGCTCAAGTCAGTCTCAATGAGTAACATGTAGTCATGTTTCCACAGACGTTTACAGTCATTATTGACCAATGCAAGAACGCACGTTTGATACAGCTTGGGGATCAGTTGGTGGAGGATGAAAGCGAGTGTAAAATATCAGGAAATGTCAGAGGAACCGATGTGTAAGTATTTTTATGGAAGGAAAAATTTCTACGAAGATTGCCGAAGAATTCCCGAAGACTGTCGTAAGTCACACTTGTGTTTTGGGATTTAATATTTTCGAAGACCAACAATCTTCCTATAAATCTCCGAAGGTTACTTCTCTTCCAAAGATAAAAGTATCATTTGTACTTACTCTCGACTTATAATTTTTGTTCTTTCAGTTTCCTGAACAGTATTTGGCCACTTCAAATTGGAGGGGTGGAAAACCCGCAAGTTTCATATCCAGACCTCAATTACACGGGTTTTGTGGGATGCATACGAAAAATTATCAACAATAAACATATGTACGATCTCAAGAACCCCCTCAAAGTGGTCAACTCTCCCGAAGGCTGCACCTTGGCTCTCACCGCTTGTTCGTCTTGTAATAACAATGGATACTGTGAACCGTACTTGGACAAGGAGAGCGTTTGTGTATGTGATGTGGGGTATTCTGGAGACGACTGCTCGGCATGTAAGTATTTCTGTTGTAACATTTAAAAAAAAAAATACTTTCTACTCAGTGACGAAAGTAATCTAAGTTGCATTAGACTTTTCTGCACCACGCTCTGATTGATCTAAAAGACTCGCGCCAATTTATTAACCATTTACTCGTTTTTTCTTCCACCGACTCCTGTTTGCTTATTTACTCCTTGAGTTCCTTTTCCCTGGTGTATGCCTTTTCTTTGTTCTGATTCTGGCTAGTCGTGGTTACGTTGTATAATAAGTTTTGAAGTTAAAACACCCATTTGAAGTCGCCCTATTTCTATGTTGTACTTAGTCAGTTTTAGAAGCCTAAATGTCACACAGATCATAAAAGCAGAGCTTATTAAATCAATGCCACTATCTCTGGCTAGTCTTTTCAGCATTCTCTGACCCTCCCTTGAAGGAGAAAAGATAGCGATGAGTATTGGTTACAATGTTGAAGATGATGGGATTTTGATACGTATATCTAGCCAAAGAGATTTTTCGAAGAGATAAATTATGATAAAACCGTTTTTAAAACCTTGTAAATAAGAGGGAAGCTAACACATCTAGTAATGAACGATTTACAAATTTTTTATTACTAAGTGTTGCAAGTGACTTGATGTTTTTACCGTCGTCAGTGGGGTCAAAGTTTCTCTTTTGAGGTTTTCGTTTAGTTTCAAGTAGAAAACAAAACAAGTGGTTGTGGGGGCTCCCGTTTCAGAGTATCCAAAACGTGGAGATTTCACGTTCAAATTACATCAGAGGAATATACACCATTTTAAAATACACCAGTAACACTACTATTCCGGTTAATGACTTAGTTTTTTTTTTTCATCACCTTGCCTTTACCGTCACCATTCTTGTTTGCATATGGTATCTAATATTTGATACTTATTTTCCTTTTTCCACCGTATCCAGCGACTGTTGGGAATTACTACTTGGAAAACAGTTACTCCCAGTATTCCCTATCAGCCTGGGATTCAGCAGCAGCATCGTCGTCATCATCGTCTTCTTCTTCCTTTTCGTCATCGTCTTCATTTTCATCATCGTCGTCATCGTCATCATCATCTTCGTCGTCATCGTTAACCTCGTCAAGGAGAAGACGAGAGGTTGCTCCAGCGCCCCAACCAGTGACGAGTGAATATTTCACGAACATTGCCTTGAAAGTCAAAGCCTCGACAAGTACTAACACCAGCCTCGTATTCCTGGCCACTAACAGCCTCGGAACCGAATTTGTCAGGATTGGCGTAAGTACTGAATCCATTTCATCCCAAGACTTGCTGCTCACGTAGAAATGCGGGTCTGCCGGCCTATTCAATTTTCTTTGTTTAGTCCCTGATCAGAGAGGAAATGATCCAATCAAGTGTTGTTCCGTATGTGAAAATGGAGAGCAACGTTTGTGCTTAGGAAAGTGTGCAGCCTCTTATGAATGTTCACTACAAATAAAATTGCGGAAAATCGCGAAACGTTAATAACTTCAGTGCAGTTGATCTACGACACTTTCAATACCAAGAGTTAAAATCCAGAAATCATATGATTTTTTTCTCCCCATTGAAAATGATGAGGAAGAATTTTCTGTTAAATTTTAGGCTCCAAATAGTCAGTTCTCAACCGTTCGAAAACTGTTTTGAAATATTTAATCGACTGCAAACGCCGCCATTTTGAAAAAATAAAACAAACCAGGCAACCTGGTCGCAAATACCAGTCCACATATTTAGTGCAATTTACATACAGCTGCTACCCTGTCCATTGCACAAAGGAATAATCGTTTGGGTCATTAATATGCTTTTGGGTGGCCCATAATTGCTCAAGCGCATTGATAAGAGAAGAAAATCAAAATGACTTAAGTTACACCACAGATAAGTAGCCAGGTTGCAAGGCAAGATTCAAAGTGGCGGCTTATGAAATCGAATTTGAAGACAATTTGCGATTGGGGCAGTTGACAAAATTTGACTCTCTTGTTTATAGATATTGAACCATGTACTTCGTTGTGTGTTCAGACTGGGAAGTAGGACAAAAGTCCTTTCGCTTCCGAACGTAAACATCACTGATGGTAAAACACACATTGTCAAAGTGGAAAGAGTGGGTAACTACGCCACACTACAGGTTGACTACGCGGGGAAGGTGGAAGGAAGTACGGGAGGAAGCAGCAATCTGATGAATTTTGGTGGCGGGGCTCTGTTTTCCGGTGGTACCCGCCGGCTGACCGCGATGCTTGTGATGCGAGCGATTGTGAAAAGCAACGGAAAGGCTATTGTGCAAACGGCAGACGGCGGCCTCATCTCGACTTTTACGTCATTCTCAGGGTCTTTGTACGGAGTGAGTTTGATAACTATCGGAAAAAAGGGTGGTGTTACGGTCAAAATATTGAAGAATGCGACCCTTATTAGAATGTACCAGAAACACAGCATTCGATCTGTGTATAATTCAAGTGCAGGGAAAGTAGTTTTGGGAAGCGCCGGTGTAAGTGTTTCCGAAATTCGAGTTAGTAACAGCAGCGCGCAAAGTGTTCATCGGATATTACAACGAAGAAATCAACAAAGTTCTGGAGATCCGAGAGCGAAGGCTGGTCCTGGTGCTAATGCGGTGGTCACTGGTGGCAAACTCAGTTCCGTGGCTGACTATGGATCGAGGCTGAAGCTGAGGCAGTCAACAGAAGGAAAGAGAAATAGGTCGGACGTCGATGAATCTTACGCAGGTTAGTATATTTACTAGAGTCATAGTAGAGACGTTTCCCCTCCCATTGGTCTTGGACTGCGTCATATGTACGATAACCACCCCCGTAAGGTGCTTATACATTTACAGTAACTGGTCAAGAGCAATTTTCAAAATCAGTAAATGTGGTTGATACACGTTGGTCGCCATATACATCGGAATTGACACATATTGAGTCAAAAAATCTTTCATAATCTTTGTTTCCCCGAGGGAATAACTGCAACCTCTTTTACGCTTTAAACCTGGTTTAACTTGAGTTTGCATGGTATACATCCACAAATTAAACTGAAAAAATATATCGAAGATAATAGAATAAAACAATGTTGTGTTCTTGCGCTGGTGAAGAACAGAGAAACAAGTTTGACTTCTCTCAAATTCGCTCGTAAAATTTTCACAGATTCGCTCTCTAAATTTATCTTATCCTTTGTGAACTCTTAGGTTGCATCCCACAAAATCGATTCAATGATATCGACGTAGACCATGAAGGTAGTCCAGTGACAGTCGAGCGGCAAAATGTTATATTTGGATGTCCTTGTGAAAAGGGAGACTGCGCCAATAACGGAACATGTTTAATAGATACCACTTCGCCCCTGGTGAATGTATGTAAATGCGCTGAGCCTTGGACTGGACTTCGATGTTATGAAATCGTAGAAGACCCTGGAGGTGGAAAAACTCAACGTGAGTATTTTTCATGTCTATTTTGTGAAACATAGATATAGAATAACTGATTCATCTCGACGAACAGGCGCACTAACTTACAGGGAAACCAAGAAGAAACGAGCGGTGGAGCAATTGAACAAGCATGTAGAAATGAACGAGCAAACCAAAAAAAAGAACAGCACATATTGAAGAAAGGAATTTTTAGATATAAACAGGTAGCTGGCCTCTATCATGAAGGAAGGAAATAATTAATTATCGTTGCATCTTAGAATGGGTGAAATGCATACCCAGTGCTAGCCTCCGGTTGAAAAGGTTTGGGTTCGAGCTCTGAGGGTTCATTACGTTTTACAGATACTTTGACGGTGAATTTCTCCTCTCAAGGATATTAAAAGGGAATAGTA